GGGGTTGCAATGGGCACTGAGACAGTAAAGAAGAAGGCTGGACCCCCTCAAATTGTTAAATTGGACAAGGCATTGAAACTGGTAAATGTTTCTTTCCTTTTCTTCTTCATTTTTTTGTTCACTTAATTTAATTTTGTTCATCCTTGTATTGAGAATATCTTGTCTTCTCTGCGTTGTAATAACTGCCTTTTGGATTAGTCAGCTGGAATAAATACCAAGTGGAGTCTGTGGAGGATATCTTGATTGTTGTTATATCCAATGGAAAATCCAGCTGATTTGAGCCAAAGATTGCAGCTTGAGCAAGATATTATAAGAGCTGTTATACCTTTTCCTTATTAATTATGTTATAATACTACTCTACAAAGATAAAAAGAAAGGTTTTCAAATTCTCAATGATTGATCATTCATTAGATTATGAGTGGTTTGGCTTGGCTGTTATGCATTTGACCATCTTTTGTCAGTATCAGTTGTGTCACAACACAATGAACTCAGTGATTTTCTTTCCTTTGTGGCTGACATTAGTGATATGCAGGCTGAACAATGGGTTAATAATATGAGTGGATCTCTGGAGCATGAACCAGTCGAAGTAGAGCCAGAAGGCCGACCCCCTAAGTATAGTTTACATCTTCTGTTACTGCTTTATTCTGTTACTCTGAACTAATTGCAAGGTTTGAATCATGTGTTTTTAGGCTGGGACTAGGAGCTAAAGTTTCTCGGCAATTCAAAGTTGGACCTTCTAATGATCCTGTTGAAAGAAAATTATATGCAAAGCTAGATGTTGGAAAAAGAAAAGCCTCCAAAAGCATTGAGGAGTCTACTTCATATGGTAGGGATGAATCCACTGAGGAAGAAGAGGAAGGGGATTTAGAGAGTAGAAGTAGTGTGTTTACCAAGAAGAGAGCAGTTCCTCCTACGCCAACTTTACAGGCAAAGAAGAAACAGAAGTAACTCAAATCTCTTGTAAAATTGGCTCTTATTAACTTGTGTTGTAATTTCCTGCGTTACATACTTGATAACTTTAATATTTTTCTTAATGGGAACCAAGGTTGTGCCTATTATTTTCCTTTTATATACTTGCCAATTATGAAATTATCTTTGTCAAAGAATCAAATGTACATATTTGCTTATCTGTTAATTCTCTACTCATGCGCTTTCCAGCATGTTCTTTTTTGAACAAAATGGCAAGTAGAATATGTTGCTCCTAATGGTGCAATTCTGTATAACTGCAAGTAAAAGGATGTATATGGAAAACTCTATAAGATTGCTGGTTCTTCCCTAGAAGAGCAAATGCAAGCGGTCTTTCCATATGCCCCCAATGAAGAACATCAGAGAAATATGGCCTTAAGGGCTTCACATAATTTCTAAAAGCTCTGCTTTGCAACTCTTCTAATCTGCTGTCTGTTATTAGGTACACTGGGGGGCCAATAATTGCTCCTCATGAAGCATCACTTGGCGTCTTATAGGACCCACTTGAGCCTTTGTTTGAAAAGCTCAGTTGTTCTCATGCAATTTTTCTGAGAGCAAGTTTTATTCTTGGTATATATTTTCCTTTTAGGTGCTGCATCTATTTTTTGGTTATCTTTTCAAATCAATATTGGATGGTTCATGGTTTTCCATTTCATTTAAAAAAAATAAAAATCAGTTCTCATAACCGAGGGAGGTTAGAGTTGCTGCTGTTTTTGGACATCCTATACCAGAAACTGAACTTTTGGAACTCCTGTTATCAAATTAAAGAACAGAAACCATGTTCCAGAAACGTTCCTACAATCTTATCTCATCTTTTCAGAGTTAGGAAATGCTGTTGATAACATCAGCGCAGGTGAAAGCCTAACATGAAAGAAATCTGTCTGTTTGTTTGGTATCTTATGGACTTTCATAGGTGAATTCTACACAATTGGAAGGATAACTATTCGGCAGGTATATGAGTAAGTTTATGCCAAGCACAGTCTTTCTTACCTTATATGAGAAATAACAGCAGGTGTCCTTTCATTTTCTTGCTGGCACTGCATTTTTGACACTTGAAGATTTTAAGACATTGTGTTTATCTCACTCAGCAACATATCAGCATCCTTTCTCCTATCTGTCATACCATAGTGGCAATAGATGGACAATTCCCACCCAATATAGCATGACGCCCACTTTGTCATTGTCATCGTGGGACACCAGGCAAGAGAGAGGATAACTAGATTTCCCTAAATTGTGTTATTGAGGGGCCTACATTTAATATCATATTGTTTTCTTTCCACGTTAAGCTTGTTTAGATTTGCGACAGCTTAATATTTTACATTTGGCTTGGATTGAGAAAGAGGGGGAGAGAAAAAGAGTGAGGGAGAATGAATATTTTCAGTAATTTAAATTAATAATTTTAATAGAGGTGGGGGAGGTGGAACTCTCTCTTCATTTGTATTTTCAATTCCTCCGATATATAAGGATTGAAATTGATTATATTATTTAATTTATTATATTGGGTAAACAAAAATATATATTGGATTCAGTACATGTTAACCAGGTCAGTTTTTTTTTTTTTTCTTCACTCCAACAACTTTGATGTTTCTCTAATTAAATATTTTTGTAAGGCAGAACTTTCAAATTCACCCTCAAAAAATATCGAAAAGAACACATCCACCTCTAAAAAAAAAGCAGGGATAAATTACCCCCTCAAATCATAAATTAATATAAATCACAATTTTTTCAACATTTTTCGTTAAAAAATACTCACGTAACAAACAGAATTTTTCGTTAAAAAATATGTAATTTGTATTGATTTATGATTTAAAAAGATAATTTATCTCTGCTTTTTTTTTAGGAATGGATATATTCTTACTGATATTTTTGTAAAGGTTGTTGTTTTTTTTTTTTAAGTGGATTTGAAGATTTTGCCTTTTTTAAAGTTGCACTAATGCTTGCCGAGTCCCCTTGCTCCAAACCCATGAAACATTAACTTGATTACTTTGATCTATAAAAATAACCAAAATATCTAATGCTCAATTAACCTACTGTTTGCCCTTCAAATGACTCAAATCAGCTAAAACACTAAAAAAAAAAAGAAAAAAAAAGTAAACAAAAAGATGCAATGCAAGTGAACAAAAAGAAAAGATATAATCCTATTATTCAAGACTCGGTTACTCGCAGAACATATGCATTTATCTTTTTATTGTTGGTTTTGCAGTAAAATACGAAGAGATAATCCTCACTCCCATTGAAACCTCCTTCAAAGCAAATTATATTACTTAAATATACACGCATGCCTAGCGGCTGGGGATATTCAACAATAAAATTCATAGGTGAGATTAAGTATTAAAAAATTAAAAGATAATATTTTTAAATAAAAAATAAAAAATTAATGTAATTAAATAAAAAATAAAAAATAAATATTTTTATTTAAAAATAAATAAAATTATTAATTTTCAACCAAAAAAAAATAACATTTTTATTTTCACCTTTTCTTTCCCATATGTAATCTCATCAAAACATGGGATTGGCAGGTGAGAAAGTTGAAAACCATGAACTGCAGTCTTCTTGATTGGATCCGTTGTTGAATTAAGATGGAAAAGAGATATTCACTTTTATAGTTTTTTTTTATTTTTAAATAGTATGAAATTCTTTCGGAGAAAAGAGAAAAGAGAAAGGAGACTTGAGATTTGATCCCAAGTTCATCTCAAGTCCTAAGCATGTCTCGCAAAGGGTGGCTATTAGGCCACCGAATGCTGGATATTTACTTTTATAATTTAAACTGATTTAAATCGTAAAATATAATATCTTTTTGATATATTCAGCAATTTAAACTGGGCCAATAAATAAGGCCCATCACATCGTTGCTCCGTAATGAGATGGAATGGTACCGACGGTTGAAGAGAGATCCAAGTTAAACTCATTATTAAATTAATTTCAACGTAAACTTTTTAAAGGGTATTCCATATTATCTTCCTAGTATTTCTTCCTCATCAGTAATATTCATGCTTCTCCTCTCCGTTCGCCGATGATCATTCCGATCTGCTTCTAAAATTATGCACCCAATTCCTAAGACTATGTTTGAAGAAAAATCAATAAAGGAAAAGAAGGAGATGGGAGAGGAAAGAAAGGGAGGAGAAGTGAAGGAAAATAAAAAGTTAATTTTAATTTTGTTGGACAAAAAAAATAAGGTTAAATTTTTAATTTGGTTTTTGAATTATTGTACGAACTTTAATTTGGTTTATGAACTAAAATTTTTTTTGATTGGTCCCTAAACATTGTACGAACCTCCAACTTGATCCCTACTATTTATCAATTTGTCTTAAATTAGTCTTTTCGTACAAAAAATAGCTAACGTATCTGTTATTTAACAATGAAAAATAATAATTTAATGATGAAAATAATAATTTAACGATCATGTGTTATGTTAATAATGAGATATATCAATTATTTTTTGTATGAAAATATCAATTTAGGATAAATTGGTAAACAGTATGATCAAATTAGGGGTTCATAAGATGGT